ATTAATTAATTAATTGGAAAAGTAATAGTTCTTTATTTATCAAAGAATTAAAATGGCTTAATTAATCAAAAAAAGTAATGGTTTATTGTTTTTCTAAGATAATTATCGAAAAAGTCAGTTAAATAGTTCTCAAAATATAACGATTTTATCTCGGTATAATAGATAAAGATAATAGTGTATTTTTTTGTCTTCATGACAAAAAAAAAAGAGATATATTGATTTTTTTTTCTTATTATTATTATTATAAAATTTATGTTAGTTTCAATATGGAAGAAAAATCAAGTACAAGTTAAAAGACTAGCAAGAGAAAAAACGGAAGGTCATCAGGTGTTATTGAAAGCAGAAAGGTTTTACGACTTTGCAAAAAAAGTAAAAATACATTCATTGATTTACAAGTCAACTTTACACGCAATAAAAATTAAAAATTAACGTCAATATCAATATAATTCTCTTTAACATTTTGAGAAAATCTAAAACTTTTTTTTTAAAATTTTCTATCGTTTTTGAATATAACAAGTAATTGAACATAATAACATAATAATAATTAATTACCAACTATAATTTGGTGTTACAGGACTATTTATTAATTCTATCCAATCACGAATGATTTTGTACAACCAAACTTATGAAGATTCAATCTATTTTATTTTCCATGAACAACATCCTGTCAAGGTCGGAGAGACGACTCTGAAAGCTTTCAAGAAGTAAAGAACCAGTCAAAAATTGAAATTGTTGTTGCTATTAAAATCAACCGAAATTTAAAAAGGTATCAAGTTTTAATATCCAAGTTGAAGAAATTATATTATTGGTATTGATGTTGATTTTTGATTTTTAATTCTCCTAAATTGTAAAAGCAAACATTGTGCAAGATATCTAGATATCACTTTTCTTCCGCGATGAGAAAATCGACCAGCCCCATCGAGATCAAATTCTCTCGGAATCGAATAGTATGGGATAAGGAGTTTGTTTTCCCGTGATTTCGAATTATTCACTTGCTCAGGGTCGTGGTTTGTGCGGCGATATAGTAGTGGTACCATTTTTTATCAACTAAAATTATTTCTTTTATTTGTTCGGGAAGAAAACTTATGGTTTTATTATTATTATTATTATTTGGAAACGTCGCATGTTTTTAAGTGTATATATATGTTAATTTTATTATAAAAAATATTTGTAAAATATTTAATAAATAATCCCAATTTTCTCCTTGAATGATTTTTTTCTATTTTAGACTAAATTTTAATTGTACAAATTGTGTTATACAGGTTACAATTAATTGTATTAGTATTATTTAA